TCTTACTCTCATGTGGAGATTATTCTTCCATCTGAAATTAACCTTAACCACACGCTCTTCTAATGCAGAGATAATCCTTTCTGAGGGAAGTTACTGTGCATTAATTGCTTGACTCTTTTTCTTCCTTTTTTTTTCTCCACTTCCACCCCTCTTGTCTGTGGTGCAAAGACCTGCACTGGAGCTGCAAACTGTGTCTGCAGAAATGCCAGAAAAACAGAATATTACTACTTCCCACCACATGTTTTCTGATTAGTATTCAATAAAAAATTATCTAAGCTGCAGAGATCTTATGCAAGAGTGCAATTACATCATCAACCACTTTCTAATTGCTAGAAAAAAAACCATCAGCCAAAACAGAGCGTTTTGCAACTTTGTGCTACAATTAGACTTAGAATCTTTCAATACATGTTAGAAAATATTTCTCACTCTCAAAGGATTTAAAATAATTATAAGTCATTCTAATTTGTCTATACAATTTCTATCAACTGCGTGGTGATTTAAGTGATCCATTAATTACAATAAATATGAATTTAATACACATATATATGTCGTTGTAATTATCCAAATCACTAGAGGTAATATATTTTTTTGCTTTAATTCTCTTTTGGTTTTATGGCTTTAAGAGCTGCTCTTTGCTTTAGACCTTACATCCACCCCATAGCTTATCCCTATCAGTAGGCAGTACTTAATTTATACACTCTTAATTAACACTGTGAGGAGTTTCCTCTCTGGTTGTGATAGGAGCTTGGCTCCTTCACGTGCACAGTCAGCCAGTTTTGCTTGAATTGGGCTGCTGCTGGCAGATCTGCAGCCCTTAAATCCAGGTGTCTTCACTGTGGACAAGACCCAGTGGGTATGATGCATTCCTTCCCCACCAGTGCTGGGTTCTTGGGCTTTGTCTGAAGATGGGCGTTGTTAAAAAGAGAAAGTGAGAGGAGAAAGCAGTCAATTTCTGGCCTGGATGCAGGCAACCCAGGAGTTCCTGTGAATGGGAAAAACTGGAGAGCTGATGGCAAAAAACAGTAAGATGAAGACCTTTGTCAAGGAACCCAAAAAAGGGCAATGAGACAACATTGCACAAGGAAATTGGTTTCTCCATCCCTTTACTGGTTTGGGCTGCAGCATGCAGCACATCTGAGATGGGCCGTATCTGCATCAACTTCACTTGGTCTGTCACATCCATAAAGCTTAGAGTATTTTTATTTTTAACCTTGGAGTGGGTATGCTCACACCTCTTCCTCCCAGCATCTCCTATGTCTAAATAGAGATTGGGAATCAGAATGCTGATATGCTCTTTGGTTTAAATGCCTTTAAACTAGGAGGGACAATAATTGAACGGGGGCAAGACTAACCACTCTGTTCTTGCTGTCAGCAAAGGTCAGCTGGCACCTGCTTGAGCAAAATGCCTCGGGAGCTTTGTGGTGCATGAGGAATATCTTAGCCCAAAGCTGTTCATGCTCCACTTCAGTGCCAGTGCCCAAGCAGTCTGGGCTGTCTGTGAGAAGGAACAAAGCAGGAGCTGGAGAGATTCAGGATCTGGGAGAGCAGAGAGTTGATGCTGGAACAGCATGAGTCCAAAACACAAAGCAAAGCAGTAACGATATATCAGAAGAACAATGGCATTTTTAAATCCATCCAAAGATGCTGGTATATATGTATTTTTTAGTTAGATGGAAAGGGGAAGGAGAGGGGGCTCCTGATACTTTATTCAGATGACTAAAGAGCTCATGTTAACATTCACTTTTTAAAACACAGCGACGGCCTGCGTGTAAAATGAGCTTTGAAGTGCAGAGCTGACAAACCCCAGGGGAAAGCATGTCTTTTATTAACAACTGCTGGTACACTTCAGGAACCTTATTTTAATGTTTAGTGAAAACGTTTGTTGTGAGAGAAAAAAGAATCGCTGGCCTGAGGAATTCCTTGGAAGGGGCAGCAGGGGCTGGTGACAATTTGCCCTCATGCTTCCTTCTTCATCAGGGCTTGGAGTGGGAGGAGGACCAGCCCATGAGGGCAGTTGTTGAGTTGCCATCAATGAGTCACGGTGTGATGCAGCTCCTTGTGTTGTAGGCTGGTGACGTGGCAGATGTTCAGGGGAATATTTTCTTTATGTTTTTAGTTGCAGAGCTGACTTAAGGCCCAAGGCTGCTTTTGGATTTCAGTGGCATGCTTGGTTCTGGTTCTTCAAAAGAGACTTGGTTGCTTCTGGAAAATGTTTTAGCAAAGAAGCAATGTTATTTATGCATATCTGTGGTTTTATTTTTAACGTATTTTTATAATGCAGCAAGTTGACCCAAATAGGAGATGCAGACCTTCTTCTAAGATGATCTCTTGAATAAACCATAGTTTCAGCTGTTGGAGTCCTCGGATCAAATACTGAGGTTTCCACCCCACACCCTGCACCTCCCACTAGCTAACTGCTCACCTTGCAGGCGTCTCATCTCCAAAAATTATGCACGACCTCACAAGGGTTTATTAGATTCTTGTATTAAGGTCACGACAGAGTAAATGACTTATCTAAGGCTGCAGAATGAGGTAGGTATCAATGATGTGATCAGACATCTGCAGTTCTTGGCTTTGAGATTTGGGGATCAGAGAGTGGCTGATAGAGACTGAAATACGAGCGTTCTGAATTTTTTATGTTCGGTTCAAGTATATTTGGGCTAGATTCATCAAAGGAATAACCGGGAGAGATATTTTTCATTTGTAGAATCTTAATGAATACATGACACTCGTTATTCATTATTTATCTACTTTCAGATGTTAATTAATAGTTCTGCTGGTCATTTATGATTTTTCCTATATTTATAGAAAGCCGTCACTTCAAAAGTATTTAATTGTGCTGCTGTTTGTTACCTTTTGTAAAACTGCCTCAATATTAGGGAGGACTCAATATTGCTATAGCTTTTAAGCACATAACCAAAGGAAGAAAATTTCATATTTTTCTGTTCCTTTGAGTCATGTCATGAGTTTGTGGTTTTCCTTCCCCCAAATGCTTTTTACAGTGCAGCTGACATAAATTAGCCAAAGAAACTGTGTTTCCTGTATGGGTAGGAACCACTAGAGGACACCACCAGGAGACTCGTGAAGCAATCAGGCACTGCTATCAACAGAGAAACTGAAAAAAAAAGGGTGGGAATGGGGAAGTGCTGTTCCTACCATCCCCTGGGAATGGATAGAGCTGATCCATCATCTTATTGCCAGCCAGCAGATATGGGCTGGAAATGCACAGCTCCTTGCAACACCTCATCATCCTTACATCTTGTGATGCCAGAGCAGATCTGCTTGGAGGAGCAATTTGCTGCTGAGAAGGAGAAGGTCACTGAGCCTTTTCTGGCCGCAGCACTTTCAGCTAGCTCAGAACCTGCAGTTGTAGGAGATTCACCTGGCTTTCTTTTCAGGTTTCCCAGAGCATTAGTAGGCTTAAATGAAGTAATTCAGAAGAGGATCATGATGGTGACATCTGACTTGGTCATAGGCTGAGTCTGCATTAGCCTGGGATGAAGCTGCAAACGTCTGTGAGAGCCTGCTGGAACACGTGACGGACTCAGAACGTGGGCAAATCGTGGCAATGTAAAACCAACAACAAAATCTCTCCTTCATTGAGCTGTGGAGCCATGGGACAGGCTTCATGGGAAGGTGCAGAGCTTCTGTCACACTGGAAGAAGCTCTGGGAGGTTTATAGCTCTGCCTCCTCCCAAAGCTCTGTCCGCAGCCAGAGTGCCCAATTGGAGAGGCACGGACTGGTTTTGCTTGCTTAAGAAATTGCTTTTAAATTGTTTATGGCCCAGTGTTGAAACAACAGTCCCAATGGAACAACTGGAATGGACCTTCGTGCTGCACTTCAGCCCTTCTTCCCATCCAAACCAAAATCCTCTGCTTCCCCAAAGGAACAGCCGCCTTTGTAGCTTCTGTGACACCGCTGGAGGCCGCAGGGAGCTCAGGGCCATCGCTGGGCTCCTCCTGCTGTGCTGGTGCAGCAGCTCACAGGACACCAGTCCCAGTCCCGCCCTCTTCTCAGCGCTCACGGAGGCTGAGGCTGAGGCTGCACGGAGCTCAGGGCCATCCGCTGGACTTATCTCCTATCAGCACAGCAGCTTATGGCACAGCAGTCCCAGTCCTTCCCGTTTCCTCAGAGCTCGGGAAAGAAGAGGTGAGAGCTCTCGGATGAGGATGGAGGACGGGGAAGAAAGGGCGGCAGGGAGCAGCAGCTGGCGCAGGGCTCTCTGGCAGATGGTGACATTTCAGGGCCAGGGTGGAAATCGAGAGCCCCTGGTGCGCTGCCGGTGGATGTAGCAGCGTCTCCATGCAGACACGATGTTGGGGTGCCTGCCTGCCTCGATGGAGGTGGATGCACCTCCATGGGTTCCTCCTCTAGCAGGATGTCCATCTCCATGGGCTCGACGCTGCTCTCTGCTGGTTTACAGCCGTCGGCTCAGGTTTGCAGCTGCTCCCCTGAAGCCGTGGCTTCTTTGGTGGAGGAGGATCCATCTTCTTCCATAAGGGACAACACAAAAGGTGGGAAGGGACTCATCTTCAGCACTGTGTGCGGAGTTGGGTGCTGCAACACAGGAAGGACATAAAACTGTGAGAGAGTCCAGAGGAGAGCTGCAGAGGTGAGCAAGGTGTGTGATGAATTTGCTTTCGAAAAGCTAACAGTACACACACAAAACTACCTGCCTGCTAATGGCATGTTTTTAATGCCAGAGGCTTTTCCCATCACTGATAGGTCTGTGATGAGACTGAGGATATTTCTACAAGTAATTTTAATCAAATCCACCAATAAATGTTTCTCATTTTTTTCCACCAAGATGATTAAAAAAACCCCACACACATACGTTGTGGTTGTTTATTTTTGTTTGCAGTAACCAAGAAGATTATTTTTGCTGTTAAACTTCCAGAGGTTTTTAGGCCTAAGATTGAATGGACAATAGAGGATTTTAAAAGTGATTTCCAAAAGAGCTTTCCTGCTCTCTTTTAATTAACTTGTTGAACAGCTAGAAATTGGAAACATTTTTCCCTTATAAGAATGAAGATATTTTGGAGAACATTTAGGTGGATTTCTAATGAATTTATGGGAATTATGTGGTTTAAAAATGTCTGCATTCATTTTCCTCATTCTCAGTGAAAGGTGGATTTTTTTTTTTTTTCTTCTAGTTTCATCATAGACCAGGAACCCCCATGGTAAAAACTTTCTCCACCAAATGGTTACATATCCAGTGTGCTTTATGTAGATTAAAAATTGAACTAGCAAAACAAACACTTTTTTTAATGGAAAACTGTTTTTGCCTCTCAGGACAGTGTTGGCTTTCAGTGAGAACTATCCTGCCTTTCTTTACCTCAAACCAGAACTGGGGTAAAGCAAATCCTTCAGGCGTGCCTTCCAGGGCAGCAGCAATCACTTCCTCCAGAGACTGGTAAGTGCCATCTTGCTCTTCAGAACCTTTCCAAATACACTCAGTGCATTTCCTGGAGAAGCAGAGCATTACTTGCTTGCTGTGGGTTTTTTCAGACCCAGAGCATTATCTCTGCTCATATTTCCACTGGGAAAGTGCAAAGCGAGCCTTGGCTCAATCTCTGCCCCGAGGAGGTAAGAATGCATCCAGCATTTTTTTTTTTAAAAGAGGATTTCTTAATTGATCTTATCTTTACCATGTGTCTGTCACCCATGTGTAGTAGGCGACTGCAACACCCATGGTGCTGGAACAGCTGCCCAGAGAGGCTGTGATGCCCCGTCCATCCCTGGAGGTGTTCAAGGCCAGGTTGGATGGGGCCCTGGGCAGCCTGGGCTGGTATTAAATGGGGAGGTTGGTGGCCCTGCGTGTGGCAGGGGGGTTGGAGATTCACAATCCTTGAGGTCCCTTCCAACCCTGGCCATTCTGTGATTCTGTGTTTGTTGCACAAACCTCAGCTTGTGTGCTTTTCTGAGGCTCCTCTGTCGTGTCCTTCCGTGAGCCGAGCACCAGGGGGTGACAGAGCCCCGCATACCGCCACCGAGGAGTGACACCCCCGAAAGCTCCTTCCAGGAGCAGCCGGGGGGAAGGAGAGGCGCTGGGGAACCTCGAATGCCAAGTGCACCCCTGGGTATCCCAAAGGGATCCACTCCTCCTGCGTGTGTCCTGCCTTGCACCTCCACCACTTCATCCAGGAAAAGATGCTTGTGTTTAAAGAAAAGAAAAAAGAAAAAAAAGAACTGGAAAGCAACAACCACCTGCCTTTAAAACAACTGAGAGAACTGTAGATTTGCTGGGGTAAAGGAGAAGATTGAGTCTGTGTTGCAAACAGTTTCAAAACTGATCTGTCTTCCCTTTCTTTCTCTGCAAACAAAATGCTGTTTAAAAATTGCTGTTTGTGTATAGGAAGATGGTTTTCTTGCCAGTTCTGATCAGTTTGACAAAAAACTAGAATGCAGCTGATGCCCAGGTATTTAAGTTAATACTACTTGTCCAGGAGAAAAAAAATACATTTGGCACTGAAAAGTAGAGGAAAGGCAAATTTGATGAGTATTTGGCTTTTTCAGTAGCTAGCTAAGCCTGACTGGAAGCTGAAGGGAAAACAAATATAATTATTTGTGTGAGATTGAATTTCATTTCCAACTGAAAATACAAAATCTGTCACCTGCACATTCACTGTAAGCCGTGGCCGTGGGGCGCAGGATGCTCCGGCAGCACACTGAACCAGTGTGTGTGTCCTCCTGTCCCACCGCCACCTGTGTTCCCTAAAATGAAGGTCACTGATGTATCAGGACTTGGATCCCTCCCAAAAAGTGTGGGGATGGGAAAAGTGGGTCCCCAGGCATTTGTACCGCAGGCAGCAAGGCTGCATTTGGCTGCTTGGCTGGCCAAGCTGCTGGAGCAAAATCTCTAAGACCTTAAGATGTATGAATAACATCTGGCTTGAGTCCATTTCCTCAGTGCTGGACAGCTTGCTGCTGAATGAAGTTTTTTTTATTCGGGTCCTCAGAGTCAGACCCTTGCCCAGATCCAGCTGTCCCTGGTAATTAAATTTTAATGCCTCAAGCTGGGAGTTTGCAGTGGTGTTTTAAAAGAGGCTGGGAGCGGTCTGCTATGGTCACTTGCAGGCTTTGAAGCTCTTGTCTGCTGGCAAGGGGAAGGTCCCACCTCCTTGGTCCCAGCTGAGCTGGTGTGACAGTTCTCCAGCCCCAAAAGGAGAACTAAGGGGATTCCTCTTGTGCAGGCAGGAGGAGCTAGAAAGGCAATGAGGGTTTATTGTGTCAAAAGTGTGGGTCTGAGGAATGCAGTAATTTTTCTTGAGATGGCCATGGAGCAGTGAATGCCTGCCCTGGGTATGGGGGGCTGTTTGGGAGGATGAAGAGGAGATGCCCTCTATCCAAGCATAGCCTCTGAGCAGAGCTCTTGCATGCAAGCAGCTCGTGCAGCAAGCTCAGAGAGCACTATAAATAGGCATTCTGTCTCTTTGAGTCAAACAGTTCTTCCTCATGTGTTTTTCTGATGGATTTAATTAGAATTTAGAAAGGTAGTTGTTTTGGGCTCTGCTTGGGTTGTGTTTTGGGAGCCCCATGCTTCTGGTGACTGTCCATGGCACTGCTTGGCCACCTGAAGGCACCTGTGCTGCCTGCATGTTGTGCCCCAGTATGTTTCAGGAGGGGGCTCAGGGCCACCACAGCCCATTCTGGCAGCACATGGAACTGAAGCAGGGCCAAGGGGAGCCATGGGGCTGATGGATCCCTTCTGCTGTACAGGAACAGAGAGAGCGTGAGAGGGAGGTGGCTAGAAACCAACCACGCTGATGGGTGAGATTATTCTCCTCCTCCTTAAACTGTTGCATTGTAATTACTGTGCAAACAGAAGGCTTGGGTAATTATTCTGTGATTTTGTGGGTGTAAATTTAACAAGTCATTCCCATACTACTTCTTGTACAAGTCATTCCAGTAGTACTTTTTCCTTTAAGTTTTTCTCCTTAACTGAGTGCTCTCAGTTTCTGTATGGGTGAAGTATTGCTAGTTAACCTGAGTAAGAAACAGCTCTGAACACAGATGACTAGCAGGGGCTGGCACTGCTGCCATGCAAACTCTGTTTGCAGTAAGGATGTGAGAGCAACAGCAAATGTTTTCACAGATGCAGGCTGTGACCCAGCTCAAAGCACAAGCTCAGGGATGCCAAGTAGGTCTTGCAAGACTTCTGAGAACCTTCTTGTCCCTGCCCAAACCATTGTGGCTAATGAGCTCCAAAGGGATGCTCTAACAATCAAACCCTGTATTTAAGTGCTGGGGTTCATACAAGGACCTGAGAGAGGACAGCACTGTGATTTGCCTCTCCAGGGCTCTAGTGGCCACAGTTTATTGGCCTGGGGCACCCGGCTTTTTCTCATAAGCTGGCAGAGAATAGTTTATGGTTAAAGGATGTCTTTGGGATATTCTTTGGGATTATTATTTCTGGCTTTAGCATATCGCACAAAAAATCATGAATCCCAACTCACAACTCCTGTATTGTTAGAGAAGTTTCCATGGAATTCAGTGAGGTTTCCCTCTTTGGTTTGTCATAATACTCTGAATTGTTTTGTTCAGCATTAAGCACAGCAACAAATCAAAGCAGATGTGGCTCGATGAAACCATCTCGCAGCTTAGAATGAGTGAGGTGGTTGCAAACAGCTTAGAATATGTGTATGCTTGTGTGTCTGTACAATGTAGCCGAACAAACCTCCACTGCTGTTTGTGCTGCAGAACAGATGACTTGGAAAAGGCTCTTGAGTAAGTTATAAGTTGTTTCCTGTCACTGTGCTGTCATCTTGTTCTGCTGCTCCACTCCTTCCTATTGCATTTGTTTCCTTCCTTCTTCCCTTACCCTATATTAAAGCAAAGCTGAAAGTGCCTGTTCTGGAGGCATCTCTTGCCTTGCTCGTGGTGTTATTATTAATCCCCCAGGTTCGGGCTGCCTGTTCTAACAAATAAACCAGAGCCCATTGCTGAGCAGCTGATTTTCTGCTGGTTGAATGAAGATGCTGTCTGAAGCAGCTTCTTCTTTTCTGCTTGTCGCTTGTTTCCCATATGTACATGTTTTGGCATAACATGTCCTGCTAAGTATGAAGGCTGCCATAGACCTGCCTCCACTGCCACAGTGCATGTTCTGTTCCAAACCCACGCTATCCAAAACCAGGCTGGCTTGCCATTCTGAGGTCCCTGTGGAAAGCAGGAGGTTGTGTCCACCAAATCCCAGGTGTCCCCTGGATTGTCTCAGTGTCCTTGATCAGCTTTTGATGTCTGCATAACGACAACACCATCAATCCATTTTGAAGGATTCGGCTGTAGAAATAAAGTTGAGTAGGTTGTGCTTTGGCTTAATGAAAAAGGTTATGCTTTTCTTTCTCTTGTTTTCCTTTGTAAAGTCCATTGAATCCATTTTGTTCTTTCAACAAAGAGTATATATGACACTCCAGGGGAAAACAAAAAGATTTTGAGAGGGAGTTGGGGAAGAAAACAAATCATTTACTTAAGAATTGGAGAAGTGTTCTCAAAAAGGGATTATGAAGTATGGTGGCAGTATCTGAATTGGTAAAGTAGTATGAGAAACAATTTTCTTCTCCCAGGAAAGTGTGTAAGATTTTGAATCAGAAGGAATAACTTGAATTCAGACACTTTTGCTGATCAGTTAATTTATTTGCTTTATTTGAACAGAGTCATTGCTGTCCTGACTTCTTTTTAATAGTTCATCTAGCTTTAAGCATTTTTAATTTGAGCTTTAAATACATTTTTCTGCCCTTGTGTAAATAAATAAATAAATAAATAAACACCCCCAGATATGGAAGTGACCCTTTCTTCTGATCAGCTTCCATTTAATAGATGTGCATTTTTCAAAGGGAGAATTACATTAAGCTTTTACTGATGAGCTTCATAGATTGGACGTGGCCAAGAAACGTGCCTGGCTGAAGTCCTGCTTGTGTTGCTTGTCTTGCCTGTGAGCTGAGTGGAGAAATAGGGTGAGATGGTGAAGAGAACAAGACACAAATGTTCATCATACTGTTATATGCTGCTACTTTCAGAGTTCTGGGACTTTACCCTGACGTGTTCTGGATTTGAACATCCCCAAGTCTGGAGGCTGCCTGCTGCCTGGTGTGGGCTTATCTCTGCAGGAGGCGAGCTGAAGTGCTCCGTGCCATTGCCATGCCTTTTAAACGTAAGTGCAGAGCTCTCTTGTTCAGTGCCTTGGAAAATAACTGATGACAAAAGAGATTGGGCGTTCGGATAAGATAAGAATTAAATTGAAAATTTGTCCTGAAACAACAATGCTCTTGAACTTTTCAGGAGATGCAAAAAGTTGTGCTTGTTTTCAAAACAGTTTTTCAGTTTTCTTCATCTCCTGAAATTGTCTGTGCTGGCACTGTACACAAGCACTAAAGCAATCAACAGCTCCAAGCAGCGCGGGGTGACAGTAAATTTGCCTCAGTAAGACTCCATCGTGGCAAATTTCCCTGTCTCTGTTTTGTCACGGCAAAACACCGCAGGAGCTGTGAGCACCACATGTGGCTGAAAGCCTTTGGAGATACTGCTGTAATTTGTGAAGCAAAGCCTGACCCCCCCAAGGCTGCTGATTTCCAAGAAGGACCCAAGCTGCAATGTTCGTACTGTCCCAGCTTCCAAAGGCACTGAAATGTGAGCTCAGCTTTAAGTACACGCTTCCATTTACCTGAACGAGCAGTCAGCATAATTAACCATGTGCAAGTGTATTCCTTGCAGGAATTGCATGCTTCAGTCCTAGATCTGTATCTTTGAGCCTCCTTGCTTGGATGAATTGCAATTTATTCCTCTTGGACTGCACCTTGTGCCTTCTTCCTTGGAGACAATTCCCATAGTTGCTGTATAATTAGATTAGCTCTGCTTAGGCCTACCTGCAGCCGGCAGAATAAATTGTTTCTAACCTCCCCAGACCCCACTGAAAATGGTACCTGTGGTCCCTCCACGTGGGAGCTTGTATTTAGAGAGATCACAGTAACAGCAAACAGCCTTTTTAAAATGAGGAGTTGTACAGTGGTAACAGCAGGACCAGTGAAGCTCGATAGAAAAGGACGCTGTGTGGGAACTGTTGATCACGGCCTGAACCTCTGATTGACCACCTGAGGCAAGCAATGGTTCAGCCACAGGAGCACAGGTGAGGGCAGTTCAGCTGTGCTATTGGAAGGGGTGGAGTCTGGCTGCTCCTCTCCTAGATCCCAATTAAGTGCTGACTGCCACTGAGGAAGGATCTCTTTCTGGAGATCGCTCCTTGTGGAGTTTGCTGTCAGCCTGTGACACCGGTGAGCGTTTCCATTTGTTTTGATTATCTTTCCACTGTGATAATCTGACTGCACCTAACCTCTGTACGCCTGTTGATTGTACAGCTATTGATTGTACAGATGCATTAAATGAAATGGGTCCCTGTGAGTTACCTGTATTGCCTGGGGCTCAAGCTGGTCTGCTTTGCATGGAGACAAGCTGCTGGGCTTCAGAGGATGCTTTGCACCCCAGCAGACACATTGCTCCAGCTCTCCTCATTTTGCAGTGAGCCTTTGAAATTCAAAGTTTTCTCATTTTGCACTCATTGTCTAAATTCACTGAACTAAAGTCCAGAAGACAGGAAGTTCATCAGGACGTTGGGGTGGATACTGAAATAGCTGGCTCTTTGTTGCATCTTGCTCTTTATTTAGAAGATATAGGAAAGAATGATGCATTTTCTGACAAACCTGCCAATAAATGTACTCAGTAGGCAGCACAGGGCCATTGCTAATGTGTGACAGTCCTAAATGTTGGTAAACAATTCAAAGTTACCACATGATCAGAATGAGGTAAAAATTTAACCTACTACTGAATCAGAGACTAAAACCTATGGTATCACTTGCAGTATGCTACCTAGTAATCAGCTACAAGTAAATGCATCTTTCTCAGGTTGTATATCTAGTTAGCACACGGTGTGAAAAGTAAAGAATTAGCATATTTGTGGCAAATAAAACATTATGCTTTCACACAAGTGACTGTCCTTATTTAATGTCTTGCTTTTTATTTAGGGTAGCTGCAGGAACGCATCCTATACGTGTTCAGTGGAGCCAGTTGAATTATACGTTTAGAGTAATTCATCAGATAAATTCATGTCCATGAATTATCTGCATTCAGATCACGACCTTTACCAAGCTGTGCATTTTCCAGGGCTCCAAGCTTTCAGCTGATGCTGAGCGTAGACAACAGGAGCACAGAGACATTTTTCATAATCTACTCCACTCCAGGAACAGTCTCACTTTAGGAGCAAGGCAGGAAAGTCTCAGCCCCAGGGGATGCTCCAGGGAATGTTCCGAAATGGAAAGAAAGATTTTTTTTTTGAGGATGGGAGGCAGCTGCTCCCAGCCAGGGCACTGCTGTTGCCTCTCGTCCCTAAGCCTGGGCTGCTGAGCCGCCGCTGTCCAGATGATGGATAGCTCTAGAGTGGTTAAATTTTGTCTCTCCATTGCTGGACTCTAGGAAATGAAGCAGGGCGGTGCATCCAGCTGATGTAGATCCACATATGTTCATTCTCCAAAACAGCTGGCTGCTTACCCTGGCACTAACCTGACAGGAAAACACTACAGCAGCAGCTCACTGCTGATGGCAGCTCTTGCTGTGAGAGCTGAACTCATTTTGCACACCTTAGCGCGTTAGAGAGAAGATACAATTAAAATAGTGTGTCAGGCACCATGGGCAGAGCTTAGAGGAATGCAGATGAGATCTACAAGCTGTTGTAAGCCTTGTAGCATCCTATATGTGTACAAGGAGTATGCCCTACTCTTTGTGCCAAAAAATGAATAGGAAATAAAATAGCTGGAAAGCAACGGGGCTGTGTTGTTTCAGGAACGAGTCAGAGATTTCCATGTAGTAAATATTGCTAAGTGCCCTTGGCCACAACAGGCAAGAGATTTGATTCACCTTTCAGATACAGATTTAAATAACTTTGTATCAGAAATGAAATAACACAGCAGCTTGCGCTGTGTTCCTCTAACAGCTGTGGAGAAGTTTGGACTTTGTCTCCTAATACTAGGTATATTTGGTGCTAGTCATTTTTAGAAGTTCATTTTTAGTATTTTAGAATCATTTGCTTTCAGTAGTTCCACAGAGCTTTGTACTGCTGTTGTGTAGAAATATCTTACCAGTGCTGCAGCGTTCTTTGTTTGCGACTTGTCTTTAAGACTGCAGGTAAAGTTTTGTATAACCCACTGCTACTGCAGCAGCCTGCTGCTTCTCAGGTCCTCAGGCTCATGTGGGTGAAGGAGAACCAGTCCTGGAGCTGCTGAATTATTTGGCTGGGGTCACAGTGTGTTCAGCTCAGGGGGATTCAAAGCTGTGATAAACCAGGTCTTGGTGGAAGCGCTCATCCTATGGGGCTGGCAAGACAACTTAGTCTTGGGGTTGGATTAGATATTGGGATGCAAGCAGTGCCTCAGTTTCCCTGTCTGTAAAATGGGGTACTACTAATCACACTGCAACAATTTCCAGAGGGTAAGAAAAGCTCCAAGCAAAAGATGTTGTTCTGTAGGAAATGTGTGTGAAGGAAAATTGAAATAGATACAAAGCACACTGTATACAGTAAGGCTTATTTGCTGTTTCAGCTTGTTCTTTCATCAGGCCATTGAACAATAGCCAAAGAATGGAGCAGATCATTTATTTTTTTTACAGGATATTAATGTCCCTGTGTCTTTGAAGCCAATTAACTAGCAGCAGGTTTGTGGCAAAGAACAGAACAGTGCTGGTTTCTTCCTGTTGGAGCTTTTATGACTGTTGCAGAAGCGTGACTGAATGAGGCTTTCATTACTTCGTTTATTTTTTTATTTATTTTAGGCTGCTGAAGAATTAATGTGAATAATTTTCCCATTTTACCATCTGCTTTAGACTCCATCTCAAAGGGTTCCCAATGAGCACGGCACGTAAAACCATTTAAAAATGATCCTCTCCACATTTCCTGCACTCAGCAGTCTGCTAATGTGGCCAATAGATCTAGGTGATGGGGCTGCATGATTTAGAGGGGATCATTAAGGTTATGATGAGCTGTGCAACTGTCTTGTTTATCCACAGTTAGCTGTTTCATTGCAGTGCCCCTTGTCACAAAAAATAATTTTGCATTTAACCATTTACAGAGCAGTGCCAGGAACATCCAGCTGGGTGACTTCCACCTCGAATTCAAGAGAATGAGTTGATCTACTTATTTCCATCTTATTTCCCTCATGGTTTGGGCTGGAAACGTTAAAGAGCTCTGATGAGCTCCATGTAACCGATATGAAGTTAAGTGGCATTTCCACTGGCTTTCAAAGGGTTACGTGCAAACGGTCTTGGCTATCCTGTCTCTGCACCTTTGAGAATCCTGTGGTCTCTTGGATCCAAGCTTTTGGCTTTCAATCTTTGCCTCACACTCTGCCAAAACCTCGAGTGAGTGTTTGTGCTTTGGTGACTCCCAGTGTGACAGACAAATGCTCACCCTCCGTTTTAGGAGGAGGAGAAAAGGAAAGCTGAAGTCTTCAATCTGCCTGTTGAACAAAAATAATTTGTGGCTGATGAATGGCTGAGTAGCAGTATGCAAATTCCCCTGAAAGTACATAGAATGGTCCGCTGTGGCACAGCAGCGTTATACTGGCGATAGGATGATTCATGTATCTGAAAAGTAAAAGGTACAGATCTTAATTTCCTTTGTTCTCTGCAAGTTTCAGGAGTGGAGGATCCGTGTGGCCACGCCAGCAGCAGTGTGTGCAGTGAGATGTATTGCTGTGGGTGCAGTGTGATGCGGCGCTGGGACCTCGCCTAACTCATCTCCTGGCATTGTGGAAGTGGGAGAAGATGGATGTGCTGCTCCCTCGCCTCTTCCCTCCACGTTTTGTTTGTTGTTCAGAAGACATATGGGCAGCCATGTACACAAACACACACAGATCTCTCCCTGAAGAATGATGTCATGACAGATTTTTTGTATTCAGAGTAAAATATTATAATGGCACGATTTCCTTCCTTCAAGCAAGAAAATGGTTGAGCAGATCTTCTGTTCTTACGAAAAGCCTGTGAGTCTATTACTTTCCTGGGAATTGGATTTTTTTTTTTTCTTGAAGTGGGCTGCTTTTCTTGCTTTAAAAAAAAATCACATTTTGACTGGCGCACCATTTTTACCATGTTTTGTAATAGAATGCATAAAGAACTCTGAATATTTTTGCTTTTGATTTTTATATATAGAAAGTCTTAGATTGCATTTTGAAATACAGCTATCACTTAAATTAAAAACAAACAAGCACCCAAACAAATAAAAAAGCCCTTCAAGCTTTTTATTTCTATAAACTTTTGTATTTACTTGCCCTTTCTGTAGTGCACCTGCAGGGCATTCTCCTCACCCTGATGATCCGTATGGTAATAGAAGTGTTGTGCTTGAAAAACCACATCACCCAGCATTCAGACATGCACTCCCTTTGTGGTTTGCAAACCATGTTCTGATGGCTGGTTTGTTAATGCTAACATAAGCCTGGCACAAAAACCTGATGCAATCCCTCTACGTCAAAGAGAGTCTGTCCATTGACTTATTGGACTTTGACTGGGACATTTCAAGTGCAGAAACAAAGAGACCAAGACATGAGTCTGGTTGGAAGCCCAGGCAGCCTATGGTGGGCAGCAGGAGCAGCAGTGGCCAGCCAGGTGTTGGCAGTTGGATTGGATGTGGCTGTAACGTGTGGCCATGGGGGCACTGGAGTGAGGCCTTTCTTTTCACATTAGGATTCTTCTCCTATTTGTTAGACAGAACAATATTAACCTTTTGAATTTATTTAGAAACTCATTAGTGCTTTTTCTATAGTCCATTCTTTTTCTGATTAGCTCTCCTCATTACAATTCAAATTTCTTTCTGCTACATTTACTACATTGTCCTGCTTTCCCTCATCTCTAATGTTGCTTGGCTTAATTTATTAAAGCAGTGAAAAAGACGGGGAGGATTGGCTGATGTAGCACCATCCCTCGGCCCTGGTGCTCTGGGAGGAGGAGAAGAGATGAGACCCCCATGAGCTTGCTGTGGCTGGGATGGGGGTCCCTTCACGCAGGCGGATGCAGTCTGGTCCCCATGTCCTTGTTTCATTCACTCCCCCGTTTAAGAGTTTCTAAATGGAATTCACTCTGGAAGTTGATTTTCTGCACTACAGCCCAGAACCATGCGCAGCGAATGCCCCAGCACGTCTGGCAACCTGTTTTTAAGGTCAGTTTGAAAATCAGCTGCATATCTTCAGTAGCTTTTTTTTTTTTGAGTGTTTTTTTTTTTTTTTTTTTGGTTTTTTTTTTTTTTTTTTTTTCTCGTTATCAAGATGCAAGTGTGGAAGCTTCTGTAATTGCTCCTGTGTTGGTACAACTCCAGTGGAATATGAATTGACAGTTTTGGTCAATTATAAGAGACCTAAGCTGATCCCTGTGCTGAGGACAAGGTGATGGACGGATGTTATGCTTCACATCTACGTTTAGGTATTTGCTGTACTGCTTTGCAAAATATTTTCTGTTAGGAATAGGTATGTTTAGTCTTTCTTTTCCTTTAGCTTTAGCTTTCCTTTAGTTCCTTTAACTTTGTTTCTCAAGAGTGATGCTGCTGCGTGCCATGTGCTTATGATCAGAGATGCAATATGCTTTTGACAGAAGGTGATTAAATGTAGTCAGATGACTGAAACCAGCCCAATTCTTGTGGTTTTCTGATTGTTGGTGTATTTGAACATCTCGCAGAGGTGAATGAATGTGTTTTCACAGCAGCTACCATAAAGCAAGAAAGTTGCAAAGTGCTTTCTTTGAGGCACAAGGGAGTGAACTCACTCAGCAAAGGTTAGAGAGAGAGATTTTGGCAGAGCTACAAAGAGAAGCTAAATTTCTGAATTTCTAATTCAGTGCCTTAATCATAAAATCATCTTTTCTCTGGATTCTTTTCTGCCTGTAATAATTATAGTTTTGGCTGGTTTTATGTCCTTTATAAAAACCTGTCTTTCACACATCTTGTGAAGCTGAAAAAAAAAAAAAAGAAAAAGAAGAAAAAAAAGAAAGAAGATAAAACAATCGTAATTTTCCAAGTGTATAATTTTGGACTCCAGCAGAGGCCTAAAACAAGGCAGGTAATTATTTCACTCAGCTCAGCGCCGTTGGGAGAATTAGACTATTTTGTGAATTATAATTTTAAAGTAAGACCCACGAACTAGAAAAAGTTCAGCGAGCAACTTGTGGAATCAATGCTTGTAAGTATCAGCTGCAAGAGAAGAGGTGCTGGCTGTGTTTGGCGTGAAGGTGATTGGAGGAAGATGAAAAGATGGTTCGTATTAAGGAGAGGAAGGAGAAAAAGAAAGATGTGATGATTTAGGTTACGGGGAGGTTGCCAAGGCAGACTTACTGGGCTGCGATCATTCCTGGTGCAAGCTAAAGAAATAGGCTTTCCCCAAGGATGAATTTGGCTTCCAGGCAATTGCAGGAGGTTGGGCAGGGGAAGCTGCCAAGAGGCGGTGGGGCCAGCGTCAGTGGAGTTGTTAAAGTCTAGACTAGACGTGCGTTTGTTAGTGATGGTTAATTAACTTGTTCCTGGCAATCAGCCACCAGGGCAGGAGGTGGACTTGATTTGCAAGTTTTGATTGCCAGGAAAGTCACCCATAATTGCCTGAGAACTTCTGGCTTTCCGCTTTTCGCCTCAGTCCTGTGTTCCCTGTAAATCTTTGTATGATTTTCTCCTCTCTCCACAGGCGCTTCACCTCAGATAATGCCATTTTTGTGCTTATTGTTATCCGTGAGATTAAACCTCTGCCACTGTCTGATTTTGGAGACTGGTGAACATCAGCCATTCTTAGAGCCAGCAGAGCCAGAGTTACCTGTGGCTGCAGAGGGGATTTGGGACAACGCAGCTAAGGAGAGCACAGCGAGCTTGTAAGTGGGCTACAGAACATCATTAATTCTGGGTAGTTCCCAGGTGCTAACAGCACTGTTCCCAGGCAGTCCTTCACTTTGGAAGTTTGTTTCTTTTATTCTTCTTTGTGTTCCTAGAGGCAGGAATGGAAGTTGCCACAAGTTTCCGCTTGGCCAGCATTGGGCTGTTGTTTACTTTTAACTGAAGCAAATCAGGAAGGAGGAAAAAAAAGCTATAACCTTAATTGAATTTTACTACTTCCCATATACAGAAATGAAAGGCAAGGCTGAGAAAGCTTGAACGCCTAATCGCATCCTTCTAGCATGATGTTTACTGTAGGAGAAAAGTCTCAGATTATGGTCAGGGCTGTGGCACAGACGTGGAGAAGTCCTGGAGGGGCTCAATGCTGTGGTACTGCAGGGAGAGAAGGTTGCTGGATCCATGGTTAAGTTGTTGGGCCTGGGGTGCTTGAGGGGAGGATGATGTGTTTTCCTGGGGGACAGTCCCTTGTCAAAAGAGAGAGAGGTGACAAATCTGTGAAACAGGAGCAGTTGCAGATGTAGGAAGAGACTTAGGAGAGTGGTTTGCTGCTGAACCAGAGAGGAATAAAAGCAGGAGAATGACATTAGCATGTAATTTCTGGCAGTTGTTTCAGCACATAATAACTTCAATTTAAAAGCTTCTAATTTCCCTCACTTTGTGCCTTATTAAGTCTCCAACCTGTATTTAATGGTGGAAATATCACTTTTTGCTTCCCTAATTGTATGCGTGCAATTGATCTATGTAACCTGCTATATCTATACGGGGATTTCTGAAGCACATGAGGACAGCCTGTGCCCTGAGATATGCAAAATTAGCTCAAGCCCTCTCTTGCTTATGTTATTTTATTCCTTTTCTTCCTTTGGTTGAGAGCACAGTAACAAAAGAGTAAGCAACACTGTTTTTCTTGCATTTTAGATATATGCAAGGATTCCAGAGGTGTTTCCAGCATTATGGTTTTCTAACTGTGTATAGCTATGTGTCTCACATTAAAAAGAAGTAAAAGCACATATTTCATATTTTTAAGAAAGAAATTGTTGTAGCAATGACAAAGCTTGGGAAAATGCATCCTTTGGCAAGTTTTATTTGACTCCAGAGACTAGTCATGTTTTGCATAGGTTGGGCATTTCTACCCTCCCTGATCAACTTAGTGCCAACTTCTGCATTCATTTTCCTGTCTGTAGTTGTGCTGTTGATCTTTCCCAAGATACATATTTCTTTTCTGATTTGACTCACCCAGCTTCCTGAGAGAAAGCTCAGCTTATTCAAAGTACTTTAAATCTATTTATCCAGGCAAATATTTGGACACGTAAAGCGGTGTTAAAATGCTAAGAAGTCTATCAGGGCAGGAGAGCAAACAAAATCTATGGGATTTAAAGCTGCTTCTCAGTGTGCTTTGTGTGAAAGTATTAATTGGCAAAGAGCAGTGTAGAAATTTGATGCATACAGGCACATGCAGTGATTGAAAGCTTTGTTTCTGCCTGAGCTCCATTCTCCTAGCACTAAACTTATGCTTACTATGCTATCAGATGCTTCACCGCGAAGGGGATTTGAGCTTAGGTAACTGCGTGTAGATCTCTCCTCTGTGCCACTGCTTCAGTCTTTAAAAGCCAAGAGTTGTCACAAGCTGATGGCTGTGTAATGGATTCCTCAAAATCAACTTGTATCACAGTCAAACTCGTCAATTTCTGATGTTTTATCCTGAATAGATCTGGTGTCTGAAACATTCCCAAAGAGAATTTTTCATGCTCATGCTCAGCCCCGCTCTGTAGTGTGATGGGAGTGCCTGTGGAGCAGGGCTTGTTGCTATGTTTGAGCAGGACAGGCGCTGAACCTGGAAGAGAAACGTTTGGGAGGAAGCACTGAGCACTTTGGACTGGTCATAAACTCCAGTTTATGTTTTGGTCAAGTTCAGTTCAACAGGTGCTTCAATAGAGGCCTTCCAATATGTAAAGAGGGGCTGTAAGAAAGAAAAGGAGACTCCTTAGCAGGAGCATAGGACAAGGGGAAGTGATTTCAGACTAAACAAGGGGAGATTTTTGTTCGATATAAGGAAGTGAGGGTGATGAGGCACTGGCACGGGTTGCCCAGAGAGGTGGTGGTGCTCCATCCCTGCACACACCCAAGGACAGGCTGGATGGGGCTCTGAGCACTGCTGGAGCTGTGGGCGTCCCTGTGCACTGCAGTGGGATTGGACCAGATGGCCTTTGAAGGTCCCTTCCAATTCAAAATAATTCTATGATTCTAGGTCTTGACAATTATATGCTGTCATCATGGAAGAGACTTCAGGAGAGGGTCCTCTTGTCTCCCAAACAAGACTAACTTGTAATTTCTGGATGCTTCTCTAAACTGTTATCTGAGGCTGCTTGAGCCCATGTGGAGTGATGGGGGGTATAAATGGCCATGTAAGTGATAAGGAATTTGGCAACATTTCCTTGCTGCCAGGGCTACAGATGTGAAAAACTGGAGTTTGTTCTCCTGTTTTGGTTTTAAACTTTTGGACTGCCTGAACTAAAGTATTTCGTGTTGATTATGTAACGAAGGCAGAGGCCTGAATTCATATGTTGTGGTTTTTATTTGCATTTTTACTACAGTTAGTCTCATTTCCTTGTTGCTAAAGGCCATTAGAGAGGAGTTGGATGACTTGTCTAGGTTCCTGCTTTTTGTAATTTTCCAAAGCTCTATACATAATAAATCAGGCACACATTTTCACTTCTGCAATTAACTAATCCACAATGCAACAGAAGCAGTAGGATTGATTGACTATGTCAAGTTTTAAGCCTCTAGAAAAAAAAAACAACACAACAAAATAAGCCTATTTGTGCTGATGCTTCCCAGAATGGTCCTCATTCTTACACAAATCTAGCCATGGAATTTAGAACAAGTAAGGATTCTGCTACTGTACCACCCTTCAGTCAGTCCTACCTTATGCTTGCAATGGATTTTTGATGTGAAACATTCAAACGCAGTCCAGCAGAAAAACTATCAGAGATACTGTGTAGTATGGACATCTCGACGTGCTAATTCTAACTCTTCCATGGCAAGGCCCTGTCTGTTTTCCTTTATGAAAACATCTCGATCTCATTGCTTTTCTATCTTTCCTTAACTAAGAAAGCCCTAAGCAAAGGAAACATTGCAGGAGCACCTCTGAAGCTGCTGACTGGCATTGAGCAGGGTATTTAGTCAAACTCGTACTAAGCTGCATTTCACAAAGAAGCTGATTTCAGTATCACCTCTTTTCTTAAATAGAATTTGAGAGTCCTCTCTTGCAAAATCTCTGTTAGCACAGCCTGTAAGGTTGCATACTTGGTTCTCTCTGTATCACTAAGTACTCCTAGCTCACAAGCTGCTAAACTAGAAACAGGTTGCATAGACTATTTTTGTAATTTCTATGATTTAAGTAGTATGCTTGCTTGTGACATTTTACCCCACTAGTTTATCCCCCTTTTTCTTTGCATGGAAAGTTCTGAGTTGTTTCTCATGTAGGTAATGCTCTGAGGTACCTCTGCCCCTTGCTGGTGTGCTCAAACCTGAATTCCTTCTGCAGATTAGACTCAGCTAGATTTTGTAGTCCTGCTTTGGAAAACAATGCCACAGAGACACTGCTTACACCCAAATGTGTAAAACTCTGTGAAATCGGCCTTGAAGATGGGTGAAACATAGAGACAAAGTTTCAGGCTCACACTGGCCAGTGTGAACTGGTGGAACATGGGATTTTGGCTTTCTCTACAAGTTCCTAACAAAATTCTTAAGGACAAAACTTACGATACAATATAACTCACTAACTTCAGTTATCTTCCTGCAACATCCTTCCTTCTGAGGAAGACAAGTTACTGCAGATGGAGTGCTGGAATCCTCCTTTCTTGCAGAGAAAGAGCATTGGCAGTCCCAGCTCTCTGTAGTTGTTTCCCAACTCCCCTGTACACCTGCAAAACATTGCCTGCAGCAGAACTTCAGAGACCATTAAAAGAACATTTTTTGTGAAGATGGGAGATTTCATGCCTATTTAGTGAATGTAAGAATATTAATGGAATAAGGTATTAATTGTCAGTGAGAGAACAAATGTAACTTTAACAGCATGTGAAGATACTGGAACGTACAAAATAGCTGGTGAGGTTGGAAGCATAAAGCTCTAAAAATACATAATTAAAACATACATTTGCGGAGGAGAAAAAAATGGAAGTATTTTTCATTTAAATAGATATTTCCTTGGCTTCATAGAGTCTTCTTGCTTTGAGTTGCAAATATCTCACATGTACTGTGTTTTCCATGATCTGTTTGTACTTATTTGCTACCTTCAGAACCTGCTTTCTGGGCTGACACACAGAATGGCTTCCACTGAAAGTGTGTATAGAATCAGAGGGTTATTCCATACCTGTGGAATCTGATTGGACAACCATCATGGTAAGTGCTACATGGTTTTGTGTCTAAAGTAGTAGATGACTGCTGAGGGAAAATCGAGGTAAGTTTTGCCTGGTCGTGATGATGAAAGTCAACCAATGACTTCAGCATTTAACACCGACAAAGGTTAGGACATGAGACACAGTAAATTTTCCTTTGGACTGTGCTTGGTTCAGTCCCTTTAGTGCACTGCCGTAGGTCTCTGGTGCATCCAAGGCCTTGGCAAACTGCGCTTGCACTGCTGGCCCTGTGGATATCACACAGTTATCTGATGAACAAAGTACTTGTTTTTACCGGCTTGTGCGACTGTCATGGGTCAGGTCAGGGGAGCAGAAGACTGTTTCCCTGGGAGATGGTTTGTCTGCTCTTGGTATCATCCAGGCATGACTCACAGCTTTGCTGGGTCCTCTCTTTGCCCCCTCCACGCAATCTTTGGAAGAAGAGAACAGGGCAGGGCAAGGTGCTTAGGGAGGGCTGAGGCACCCTCTGGTTGGTGCTGCTCTTGTGTGAGCGATGCACTGGGCTGGGAGAAGCAGCAGGTTGGGCTGTCTCACTCCAGTGTGGGGCTGATGGGTGAGGGGCACAGATGAGACCTGCACCCCGGACACCACAGCAGCTCATGCAGATGTGGAGAGCAGGGAAGGTGAGCTCTTGTGAGTGGGGTAGAGAGAATCGTTCTGCCCGTCCCACCTCATCAGTTTGGATGCATTTATTAAAAAATGTGATGTTGGCGAGACAGGGCTTTTTTACAGTGCTCTCTTCATCCTGAAAGAAATGTCAGAAATCCCACGTAAGCAGGAGATGAGGCGAGAAAGCCCTTCACCTGATCTTGTAGTCAGTAGAGAAGGTCAGAAGGCCACAACCTCTTCCCTGTCAGAGCAGAGCTGCTGGCAGGACCTGTGCCCTTACCTGACCTCTTACTGTGGTGATGGAACTGTAGGCAGAATGATGGACAGCATGAGCATAATCCATCCTGATAAGGTTTTCTGAGCCTGTCTGGATGTTTGAGTAGTGATAAGAGAATCTGTGTGAGCCTATGGAAACCAGCAGGATTTTTTTTCTATGGACTTAGGCCTAGATTTCACCCTATGATGTTTCAGTTTTTTTGGTTCCTTTTTTGCTTAGAGAACTGCAGTGGAGGCTCCCATGGACAGCCTGTCTCCCAGCTGGCCCCACATCTCTAGAATATGCAAGGAAGATGTGCTGGAAAGAAGTATCACAGTAACATCCTTCTAGTGAGCTGCCATAAACCTATGTGTCTTTTGGAGCTTAAAGCAATGGTACATGTGAAAAAATATCAGCAAATGCTTTTCCAAAGGCAGTCAGACACTGTTGTTCTTTATTGGCTCAGATCTTTGTTGCCTGGGGCTAACTGAGTCATTCCTCTTGCTAAAGTGCAAGGATGATTTCCTCTCTTTTAGTGTGAGAAGTTTGCGCTGAGGAGATGCATTTATGAAGGACTGAAAGGCGCTTAGTTTGGCTGCATGGCAAATGGCAGCTTGGCGTTACCACTGCTTCATTACCTTAAGGTGGTTCTTACAAGGCAGTTCCATCACAGCTCTTGCTGCTGCTAGAAATCTGAGCCCAGATCTTTGCACACTGATGTGCTGCAGAATGTCCATCTTGCACCCTCTGCTGCTGTGCTGGTAACAAACACCTTGTGAAGAAGTGCTTTTTTCCTCACAATTAGTCTTACTAGATTTCACTCGTGTGAGTGTTTACCCTTATATTTCCTATTTTAGTGACTCCAAAAAGATCTAATAGGGCAACAAGGAGTATCAGGGATGTGATAAGGGAGGACAAGATGCTTGGGCAGCACGGTTTGAGGCACAGCAGAATAAATGTGGGGTTGGAGTGGGGCTGAGCGAGGGGTCCGTGCTGCCAGCCTCTTTTCCTGCTAATGAAAATCAGTTTTGTGCACAGTCCCTCTGAGAGATGTTCCTCTGCAAGCCTGGATACATCACTTTTGTGCTTCAGACCTCTGCTGTACTCCAAAATTGGCAAGGCTATTTTGGATGTCAGTAGCTAGTGAGGGATGTCGGAGCAAGGCAAGGCTTGTAGGGAGAGGCAAAACCTTTAATTAATTGAAGAGATATGACTGGGGAAAGAAAAAAAAAAGAAGCATTTTTGACAGAGAAGTCTGTCCCTGCTAGACACAGCAGGCTGTCTCTTAGGACAGGGTTGTCCTTCAAGTGGGACTCTGGGAGATGGGCAGGTAACAACAGCAGCAGACTGGGGAAAGTTTCTGCAGCTTTGCTGTCAATAGCATCCAGCTTGATTTTCCTCAGAATGTTTTTCCTTAAATCTCTTTTCCACTTCAGCCTTAAAAATGGTTGGAAAATTAGATTTTATTGATGAAAGAATTGCACATGAGGTTTTGCTTTCACCCACGTCTTCTATGGAAATAAGTCTGCTGCAACCTGACTTCTTTTTCTGGTGGTGCTAATCCTTTTTGGGTTGGTTACTCAATGCTAACTGAAAAATAATAACAACTCTGTGCAAAGTGGGGCTGTCCCTGAGCATGCTGTTTTGTAGAAAACTCTTTTTTTAGTGGTGGTTGTGTGGGGGAATATTTCACTGGAAAACTTTCATCCAGTCTTGATTTGATTTTTGCCTTTCCTCAGTTTGGCTCCAACTCAGATTATTTGCTGTGCCCCCTTCCTCTCCATCTGCCACTCTCTAATGGGAAATAAATCTCCAAGCTCTTCTATTCCTTACCTTCCTGTACATCTCCTGCTCTTGCTGACTTACTGCTGGAAATCATACAGCTTCTTTCACAAAAAAGTAAATGTACCATTTATATTTTTTCCCCAGAATCCCTTTTGATCGTGTCAGACACAGAAATGCTAATAAAAAAAAAATAATAATCAAGGGTTTAAGGTGGCAAAAATCCTTCAGTTCCTAACTACTGTAAGGATAGGATATTTTTTTTCAACAGAGGTGATGCCTTGGCATCTCTCGTCCTTACGACCCAAACTGTCCTTTTTGAGAGCGTATGTTCCTCACTGTTGAGATGCTGCAGGTTGCTGCCCATACCTGAGTGGAGTGTCTGGCCATGAAATCCCCCTCTCCCCTCTTGGCACACTTGGTGGAAGCAGTGCCAGATTGCAGCATGATGGGACAGGCTCACGGATCCATGTGTTCTTGCTTGCAGGCAGCAGAATGATGGGACACAGTCAGGAGCGCCTGTAAGGAGTAGAAAGAAAGGTGTTGTTCCACGTTAACCCCTTGTCAGTGCAGAACTGCACTTGAAGTCATCTTGCTTGCATCTCCCACGGGAGGATGAGGTCCAAGCAGCACGGTGTGACTTCAGCTGGGGCAGTGCCATGAACCCACAGCTCCTGAGAGCACCGTGGCTGTATCAACCAAATATAACTGCGGTGCTAATCGTGGCTTTGGGAGCTGAGATACTGTCAGGGTCCAAAGGCTGATGGAACACATTGCAACCTTTTGGGCTGCTGTGTGCTTTAACCCTCCTGGCTCTCCAGTGGCTCAGGAGGGATTTTCATTCTCCATCTGCTATCAGAGACACTGAGATGTGCTGCAAGCGTGGAATGAAATGCAAGGGGAGAAGGGAAAAAGCATTTGATTCCTGTCAGGTAGATGAAAACTCGGTTCTCTTTTTCTTCCGTGCCTCCTGGAGAACGCACTGTATGTAGAAGGTGACCTTTTGTCTCTTTCCTCCCCACCCGAGCTGAAAGAGATTCGGCTGACACATCCGATGACAGATAGATAGCAGCATGAGCAAATTGTGCTTGAACTTGCTCCAGAGAAAATTGTTAGCAGGCGCGGGCACGGGCTGGGCTGCATTAGGGAGAGCACAGATCATAGTCAAATGTTTGTGTCATTTGCAAACGCTGCTGTGAGGGGATGGGGGGGAGTGAGCAGATGAGCGTTTTGAACTCTAAAGGTTACTGTGGAAAATGTGAAAAAAGGCTCCGTGCTTGACTTCTGAGGGAGATTCTCCATTTGGGGAAGGTTCAGGTGAAATCAGGCTAATTCCAGCCATTTGGATTTTTTCTTTTTCTTTCATCTTCTGTTTTATTGGTTTTATTTATATTTTTCCTTTTAAAATTGATTTCTTGTTCATTTTTCTGCCCTCCTTGCAAAAAGGTCCTGAAATCTCAATTTTCAGAAAAGCTTTGTTTCTTTTTTTTTGTTGTGCTTTCTGTTTTGCTGGTAAGAATAGAAGCAAAGAAGAACAGATTAAAAAACAAACAAAAACATTTTGAAGCTGTAGAATCTAATGATGAGAACAGATCTCTGATCACAAATCCCAGATGTGAAAAAGAAATTTAAATGCAAGCATTTTGAAAGCATACCCAAATAGCATTTCTGGGCTGATCGGTATGAAAGGCCCCGATAACTCATTAATTCACTGGGTTTTAATGAAGAATTGTTCTGGCCACCTCCGTCATTCTGTCACTCATGCCTTCCTGCATCCTGCCTATGTACAAGTCTGAACCCTGCCAAGCTTTGCCCATTGGGCAGCGTGGACTTCCTTCCCAGCTCTTATTTTAAGAGATGAAGAATATTTTGGGATTGAGTATACTGCACATCAACATCTCTCTTTCTTCTCTCTGTGGCCGTGCCTGCTGTGGTGATCTCATGCCCCTCCATCCGTTGACTTGAGAAAGATCGGCATTCACAGGCAGTGTTCACTCATCCTTCATCAGCATCCCTCTCTCTGCCAGGTGCCTATGGGATCTGTTCAGGCCACATCTATTAGGAACCTGGCCTGTGCATCCCAGAAGACAGCAAGAGATGGATGGTGCTGGCATGCGGCCACTTCGGAGAACAGAGCTGGATCAGCCTGCTGAGGACAGGTGCAGACAAATGGAACCTGCAGGACAAGCATGCCATTACCTTCTTTGCCAAATTCATTACAGAGAAGTTGCAAAGTTCCAGTATGCTGTCCCTGATCTTTGAGACAAAGCTGTCAGCTGGTTCGTGAATAATTCCAGGGCACGTTCAGGTAGGGCTGGAGGAAGTGAAGCTTTTGATGAGGCTGGTATTCTTGGTGCAGCTGATACCAGGACTGTGTTCTCTTTTGTGGTGGCTTGATCGACAGGACAGCTTCTAGCTGTGCTAGATGGGAGCACAAGGCACCCTGGCCATCCTGCCCTGAACCTTGCATGTCCTGCAGCCGCATCCTCAGCCCTTGTGCTCTGATCCCTGCTGATTCTTGAAAAACACCAAGTACAAGTGTGTGAGACTCAGCCAAATCTGATCTTAAGCTGTTATTAAAAGCCAGAAAAATCCATAGCGTTATAAAACCTTTTCTCTCAACAGAGAAATAGAGCAGTCTTTGGATTACTTGGTGAAATGCCTGCATTCAAGATACGGGAAGCTATTTTGGCCTTGGCAAATTGGTTAAAGTCCAATTACAATTCCTGAGGGAGGTACATGACCACAGCTTAAGAGTGAATCCAGATAAAATTCCTTTATAAGACATAAAAAGCTTCAACAACAACCGAAAAAAGGAACAGCTGGTAGTGCCAAACCATAGAGTTCCAAGCTCCAGAGCTGCTGCTTCATATTCCTAAGAGCAATCTCTTGGCATTGACGTACTATAGCTTTTTGGGCCACAGGGCTTTGTCTTCTGGTATCCCCAGTCTGCTGTGCTTTGATGTCTGAGAGGAAGGATTACATGGGCAGGCAGCTCTTGGGGCAGTGTGTGCAGACTCATTCCATTAGCAGCAACCATGGGATTGCCATTGCTGAGGTGGTCCCAGCACTTGCAGCCAGCAGCCTGCAGCTGGAGCCAGCAGCCTAGGGAGCTGCTTTGGGGATGGAGAAATGCACTGAGACACTGATAACAGCCATGAAGGCTTGTTTGGACAACTCACCCCTGTTGATGGGCTGTTTTCAGAAATGACACATTGATATTGAAAGCCTTAAATGTTCCTCAGGCAGGCTGACGAAAACCGCACACTTGTCCTCGGGCTGCTGAGGGCTCCTCTCAACTAATAAAAAATGATTTTATTTGGTTCCTTTGCTGCTGCTGCTGCTGCTGTGGAAAAACAACCCATATTCACAGCGCACCAGAGGGCTGCAGACATGTTTCCCATCCTCTGGGGCTTTCCTGGGTGCACCCTTGCTGTGTTGCTAAGCCTGGTGCCACGTGCTGACTGTCCTTTCTCCATCAGGCAACTTGTTGGCTGGCACCCAGCATGCTGCAGGTGAAGATGGAAGCTCCAGCCCCAGGGAGGAATAATGCTAACCCCACATCAGCGTCAGCTCCTCACACCAGGAGGGATCACGTGCTTTGGGGTAAGCTCCTGACCAATGTTTTATTTTCCCCACTTCATTCCATGTCTGTCTAACAGACAGGGTGTAAGTATAACTTGGCCCAGCCGCTTACGTGTGTGCCTGGTGGCAGCAAGCAAGCTTTTCTGGTGTTTTGCTTGTGGGCCAAATTTCTCCCTGTTCTTCTGGGTCCTTCATAGACACTGTGTGGGATTCAGATTCCTAACTGCTCCCTAACTGTGCTTCTCTGTGGTGCCTGAGCTTTGTGGTTGTGATTTTATTTTATTTAAGAATGCCCCAGAAGCATCATACATCCTCTTGTTTTCCAGTCGGAGAACTGAGGCACAGAAGAGCTGTGAAAAATTTCCACTGAGATTTCTTTTTCTGAACTTGAAAATTGATGAGGCTGATTATTTATTTGTTTACAGCACTCATCTCTCTAGCTGATTTTCACGGCTTTTGCTACATTTGCATCTACAAATCTGGCCCTGGATATCTCAAATTGTGAAACAGTTTACCATGGAAAAGTTAAGTCCTTGTTTGTCTCAAGGTTTCATGACAAATGACATCAGGGTCTTATGCACTAGGGTCATCTTCCCTTTAGAGTCCTGATCCAAGGCCAGAACACCCCACTGCTCTGTGATGAAGAAAGGACCCAGGGCCATGCTGTGAAATGCTTCTGACAATTAGCAGTGATTTTGAAGGTGTTATTTTGTTATTGCCCTCCTGCATTTGGCTCAATGTCTGTTCCCCAAAACCCAGTTAAGTGCAAGGGATTTGGTGACAATATTGTAGGGGACTACAGTTCCATTTTGAGACATTCAAGCAGAACTTCACTGCCTAAGCCCAGGGATGATAAATGGGAACTTTGTCAAAATCTTGTTACTGAAACTGCTGGCTTAAGCTTATAATGTTTCCTGTCTGATTATGTACATGGTTGGAGAGTTAATTTACTCTGTAATTAACTGCTTGACTGTTTGCCCTTGCCAATCTTCTTTCCCTACGTTGTCTTTTATGACAAGAGGCTTAGTTTTCCAACGTGCTTTTATCTTTCATTTGTGCTCCTGCCCCGAGACACCACATAGCTTGTTGATGTTTCAGAAGGTGGCTGATACAGCCTGCCTTGGTTGCAGTGATCTGTGCCATACTGTGAGTGTTGTTGGGTCACTGAGACTTTGCTGGTTTGTTTTTATTTCTCTCAAGCAGGTTCTTGCTTGAATTTTGTGCATTCAGTGCCCTGTGGAGTCTGGGTAGAACCAGAACAGGGATTTCAAATGTCCTGGGACTTCTGTGATGGTTGGGAATAGCCCATGGAATATGATGGCAGGAACCCTGTAGCTCAGTACTCTTCTCCCTTCTTAAACTTCAACATATGTGTTATAAAACCAGTCTAACAGCTTAACCCAACAGCTTTGAAGCCTGTGCACCCTCTTGCCTTTGTTCCTCTCTAGCTTCTCTCTGAGCCTGATGGAATCACTACATCCTTCCTCAGCTGCTTCTCCAGCTTTCAGCTGCTCCAGGCTATGATGAGCCACTACTCATGCCTGCCAGCAATTTCAAAGGATTTCTTGAACATCAGTATCATTTGGGATGCTTTTATCTAAAGATGTGCTGTCTACAAAAGGAATCCTGTGAGTTGGAATGCCCCAGGTGGCATTTTCAAAATGATCTGTGTAGCATAGGATCTCAGGTCCCAGTGAACACCAGTAAAGAAGAGTGTCTTGATCACTGACGTGCTACTTGAAATCATTGCCTTTTATCTCAAGGAAATTGAGGCAAATGATAAAACATCAGTATGTAAGGATTTGCATTTCTGTCCTGTTGTCCAAACCAGACAATTATCTGTTTATGTAGACAGCAAAGTTGTTGTGTGTTGTAGTTGCTGAATGAGTTTGCTGTTGGATAGGAAGTGTGGTTTAGGTGTGGATAGGAAGTGAGAAATATTTGGGGAATGGAGGCTTGGGATGGAGTGAAATTTTGGTTATCCATTGGTCAGATCAGAAGGCTGAAATCATGGAATCATGGAATCATTAAGGTTGGAAAAGACCACTAAGATCCCCAAATTCATCTCATCCCACTGTGCCCGCTAATCATGTCCCTCAGTGCCACATCTCCATGTTTCTTGAATATCTCCAGGGATGGTGACTCTACCACCTCCTTGGGCAGCCTGTGCCAGTGCAGCATCACTCCTTCTGAGAAGAACTTTTCCCTAATATGTTATCTGAACCTCCTCTGGCAAAACTTAAAGCCATGACCTCTTACCCTATCACTGAATGATGGCTTTCAGGACATACCCTTCCTCTCCAGAAGAAACAAACCTCTAAAAGCTATGGTTTCTCTCCAGGACTGCCAGGGACTAACCTTCAGACCTTGGGTAATGTGAACATGAAGCTGCTCTAGAACTAAAATAGCTAAAAGCCTCTCCCTGCCCCGACAGCAGTCACGCTTCACTGATGAAGTGCAGAATTGCAGGTTGTGAGCCAGTGAGAGGGCTGCTTCAACATCTGAGCAGGTGGAGCAGAGGACGGCTAGAAACCTTCCAGCTATGGGAAATCTGAGTCATGGAAGCCATTGGATAAATTTAAATACATTATTCTAGCTTGGAGGAGGAAACCATCTGGGTGAGTAGAGGGACGTGTGTCTAACTAAGGGGGGAGCCCTTTCAAATGGCAGAAGAACTGTCCTGAGCCTGAAAATCTGGCAGACCCAGGATAAAAAGACCAGTTTGTATGTTGCTGACGTAATGTATGCATTTCAAGAATCCAGCTACGGGATTATAATATTATATTATATTCAAACATTTAAAAAAATGATAAGAATTATGCTGGTGTTTGCCAGCTGTACCAAACAAGAAGGCCTGGAAATTTCATCAGAACATCACATTATAAAATCTCTTTTAAAGGCTTTTGAAGAGATCTTGTGTTTGAACTCCAAATTTCATGACAGCTCTACTTTATACAAAAAGCTGGGAAAATAATGGGAAAATCTCTCTGTGGTTGGATTGCAGTGGGCTGAGGCTGGTAAGGCAGTCTGGCTTTTAACTTGGTTTGGAGTCAACGCTCTGCTCTGCAACCTGGCTCATCCCTGTGGGTCGAGGGTAATGGCCAAGGGACTGAGTGGTCTCCTCGTGTCTGCAGCCTCTGCCACAAGGTGCAGAGCAACCAGCCTGGAGCTCTGTCTCTCTCTCTTGTCACTGGCTTCAAGTGAGGTGCAAGTGGGAATGCGAGATTTGAAAAAAATCCATGAAGGTACTGCTGCAAACTATGCAAAGACCCATGGGGCTTCCTCCCCACCTCGGCTTTAAACAGTAACGGTAATCTGAAGTTTTATTATATTGTTTTACAGGCACAGATCTCCAAGTCCTGTGGTATGGGCTCATCATTGCCATCTTACAGATGGGGTTGCTGAAGCATAAAGAATTGAAATGACTTCCCTGGAATCGTTAGGTGGGCAAATGGCAGGACTGAAAATAGAGTCTCAATATCCAGCTATTCAAGCAACCCATAGCCATTCCTGACTTGGAAGAAGGTGCCAATGCTGTTAGTTAAAGCAGGTAACAATTACTCAACTGCATGCAGTACTCAGTCCTCTTGGTAAGATGCCTTCCCAAGTACTTCACCTAAATGGTTCTGATAACCCAACACTGATTTGGAGAAATATATTGACAGAAAAAACAGTGAGCCACATATGGCTGTTCTGTCCGTCAGTCATAAGAACCCTAATACGTTCAGAAGTTCCAAATGCCTTTTAAAGCTAATGGTCTGTGCTCTAATAGCTCCTGGCCCTGGCATCCAGGCTAGCAGCTGGTGCCACTAATTGTTAGCCCCGAGGATGAGCACGTGTGCGGTAGGCAGGCAACTAGATTTCAGGAGCAGCAAAAGGATTGGGATGCCTGCCTTGCTAATCCTGCCGTTTGGCGTGCTCTTTAATCAAGATGAAAAGTCGAGAGACCGCGAGGGGCTAACAAACAACAGCTTTGGCTGATTACAGGAGCCCAGCTCACGCAGACCTGACAGCCATCGCCTGGAACGGGCAGCCCAGTAACAGCTTGTAAACCTGCCCCAGCTGCAGCTGCTCTTCTTCCCCAGTGGTGTCTGCCGGACAAGCTGGAAATAGAATCAGAAGATAATATGTCTGTCTGGCCTTTTTGGGGATGCAGGGTCTGTTATTTGAGGGGTGGATGTCAAGTCCTATAAAAGCATCCAAACATCTCCAGCTAAGCTCAGCAGAAGTAAACAGGCTGCCTGACACGGGTCTGAGAAATCTCTGAGCATCACTCTTCCTCTTCTCTCTGGTCTCTGCCTTGTGGAGTGCTGGGGGGGAAATCTTGCAAGGCAGAAAGAGCACGAGCACTAAAATGGGTGAAGGATGTTATCAGAGGGCTGGAGCCAATCAGGGAAGTGTCATGCACTGGTGATGCCAGCAGAGAGTGTCCCAGCCTGTATCCAAGAGGCAATGTGGAAAGATGGTGTGATGTCTAAGCAGTGCAAAAGGATGGGTGCTACCTGTTCTCTTGGTGGCAGGAGGTTGCAAGGCATCCTCTGATGTTCCTTTTGAATCCTGATAATCAAGGTTTTGCTGCTCCCTGTGAAGCCTAACAGGTAATCTGGAGTGAACCCATCTGAGCACCATCTGTCTTTGTCCCTTGAGGGTGAGCAGACCCAGAGCTGGGAGCTGCAGAGTCCCTGCAGTGGCTGAGAGTCTTCTTCTGATGCTCTGCAGGTGGTGCAGATCACTGTAGGTCTCCTGGATAAATCAGGGTAACTCCAAACTGAAAATCAGCTAGGGCAAATCTTCCTGCTGTGATGACTGAGGATTTGTAGACCCCAGTACCAATCAGATCTCAAAGCTCTTTCTGTCTTTCCACATACTCTGTCTTGATGGGTCCAGATCATACGCGTCACAGTGAGATACTGAAAGAGATCAACATCTTTAAGCATTCACATGATTAACCTTCCCACCACTCCCCAGAAATATCCTTTCCCATTACGCTCGTGTCTGAGACCAAACCTTGCTCCAGATGGCAGTGGGCTGAGATGAAATTTTACCGCAGTCAGAGCTCACAGATACACAAAAGAGGAAAAATGTGCAAAATTGCAATGACAAGGTTGTTTGGGTATCTTGTGATGTTCCAGCTTTAGAGAAATCCATGCTTAATGTGCCTGCATGGCAAGGTAAACTAAAGACCATATAATTCTATTAAAGCCTAACATAGCAAAAGGAGAAAACTCGTCTCCTGGCCTCCTTGTATCTGTGAGCATTAGGGAATGCTTTTACATGTGTTTCTTAGTCACTGGATGCTGAACAGTTTAGGATAAAGTCTCCCTGAGATTTGGTTACTGCAGAACTTGGGGCACTGCCTCTGCATTACTTGTACTTTCATTGGGCTGTGCCATGATCCAGTGCAGTGTGGTTATTTGGGGGTATGTGGAGGAGGAAGATCTCTCCGTTCTTTCTTCTGCTGCTGTGTTGCTGTAGAGGAATCTTGCTGTTTGTTTTCCTAGTCATGAGACTGAGCGTGAGATGGAGGATGAAAGCCCCTTCCAGAAGGCAAACTGGAGCTATGTATAGACCTTGTTTCATGCAATGACAGGATGAGAATCTGGCATTTGGAGTGCTGGGGTGAGCTGCTCATCTTGGGCAAGGCAGGCGCCAATGGGTGGTGTCTTGTGAGCTCAAAGGAGAGTAAGGAAGCACTTCCCACTTGTGAGATGTGCAGCAGTGCTTTTGCTTATGTGATGGTAAGGGTGTCTCATGGGGGCTGAAGCCCTAACTGGGACAACTGGGCTTTGGTAGAGCTCCCAAATCCACCTCTTCCTCTCCCCAAATCCACCTTTTTTTTTCCTTTTTTTTCCCCAACCTGTTCTTAATATCCTATTTCCAATCCTGGAGTATGTTGGAATGTTTGAACTTTGGAAACATACCCTGTTCTATTCAGTGTGGGACTTCTCAATAGGTTAGCTGCATTTCAATACAGCATCATCTAAAGCACTGCGTTGAGGTTTAGAGCCTTGTATATTCAACACGCCAGCAGATACTTCTCACAATAGCTGCCTCCTCTTTCTCTGTGTATGAATAATGCAGGGAGTTCCAGATCATCTGTCCTTGTCATTGCTACTGCATATTGATATAGTCACAAGAACTAACTGTTAGAGAGCAGAACGTGTGAGGACGTTCCCTGACCTTTCCCTTCTCCCCGCCAGTAACTCCTGTGTTTTCTGTGGAGGCAACGAGCACTGTCTGCTGGCAGCAGTGTTTTGGTGATCTGGATGCAATCAAGCATAGGGCTGAACACTTCTCAGGTCATGTTAGTGTGAATCTCAGTGATCCACTGACATATTTCTGTGATCCTCTTTTGTGCCAAACAGCAAAATCAAATTCCCCTTACTGTCTCTGATCTCTGTCTCACATCACTGCAGGGTACAAGTATCCTCCACCAGGCACAGCCCCACCTGCAGTGCTGTAGGAGGGCACAGAGGGGGCTGCAAGGGATCTGGGGGGGTTTTAGTCCACCCTGTGTAACTGAACCACAGGAGGCTCCCATAGGCTGACCTAGGTTTTCAAAGTCTGAGTTTGTGGAGAGGCAAAGGGGCGTATGCCTCCTATAACAGCTTTCCTTGTTGAAGAGGTAGCTGGGAGCTGTGAGACAGCCTTCTCTTACTTACTGAATATTCAGGCTCATCTGGGGGCCTGCAGGTGACAGAAGTGAAGTGGATGGCACTGCACCCCTTTGCACTGCTGTCCGTGCCAACAGGGCTGGCCCTCCTGGATGCTCACGGATGCGTTAGGAGGAGTGGATCCTGAGGTCCCTGATGCAGCTGGCAGGCACAGCCACCACCTGTCTGCATGGGCAAACGCTGGCAGTTGCTGTTGCAATGCTCCGCTTCCCCTCTTCCTGGAAGCCACAGTGCAGCACTGCCTCCTATTCCAAACACCATTTTATTACAGCTCCTCCTTCAGCCTGTTGTTTTCTCAGTGTGGATGGCAGCGACATGAGTTTGGCTCAGGGTGGGTTTTCCCTCTCTGTGCCTTGCTGTGGGTGAGCATGAGGAGATCCATGTCCTTGGGGGGCAGTTTGGCAGAAAAGGGACCTTGCTGGGGAATGCACACTGGCACCCACAGGCAGAACCATAGTGAGGGTGCTGGGAGCCAGAGCCCAGCTGGCAGCTGGGTGGAAGTGATGGTGGCTTCCTGCAAAGAGGCACTGTAGGACTTTCTGGAATGATGAGGACAAGGACTTAGTCTCCTGGAGCTCTTCCAGACACTGTACACTATAGCCCCCAGACAGATGTAATTAATGAGACATCCCGCTTTATGTAATAATGTGTGTTGTGTGACTCACCCTAATGAGAAAAAACAATGCCACATGCCTCCTCATGGGATTTCTGGTCTTCATGTCCCAGTGTTTGCTATGAATTATGTAAGGCATCAGGAGGGATCTGTGAGTAATGTCATCTCTACTGATTCTGTCTCTCCTCAGATGACTCCAGGAGTCTGGTTAGCAGTTCAGGTCTGTTTTGGTCCTTCACCTGTGGATCTGCTAGCTTGCAAATTTCTCCAAGCTCTTGTTTCTGCTTTCCTTTAGCCCTTGATTACATTTGTCAGAAAAGGAAGAAAAGCAAGTTAGCTTTTAAATCTGAAGTCAGTAGCAATATTCATGGCAGGATCTTATTCAGGCAAGCATGTGGAAAGTGTACAAGGTGTGCACAAGAGCCTTCTGTAATTCATGCTCCTGGACCTCACAGGATCTCTCCCTTTTGTTGTAGGCAGAAAGCCTTGATTCATGGCATTCTAAGCTTCAGACAAAGATGGTTGGAGCACCGTGGTCATAAACTCCATCACAGATTGGCTATCAGCAGGATGGAGGTAGGTGAAATGGATGGGAAGTGCCAGCTGCCATACAGTGCATGACTTGCTGCAGACCCAGCAGCTCAATGAGTCCAAGGCTGATGCTTCTGTTGCAGTAAGAGTTCATTGAGGAAAGGAAGAAAGATGAAGGGAGGAAGAACAGGACTTTGGCTTCGGTGTTCAGAGGAATGAGTAAAACAAATGGCTCAGTGGGTGGGGATTTTGGTAACCACTTCGATTTTGTGGTAGATTGCTTTTTTTATTTTCTGACTATTATTACATTTGTTGTGTTCACTTTTTCACTCAGTGCCTTGAGGTTGCACTGTGCTCTGGGTTTTGTGTAAAGCCATTCTTCTAGCTGCGGCCTTGGAACAGAGAGCCTGAAGGGGTCTTTGGGAAGATTAAAGATTGCTTCAAGAGAATGAATGAGAGCAGACAGCCGGTATTTCCCAGAGCTAAGAGCTGGTGCGGAGCCTTAGCGCTTCGTCGCAGCTCTGAATCTGCCATTGCCAGTGGCCAAAGGGGATGAAACTGAACATCTGCCATCTGTGACTTTTGACCAGAGAGGGACGATCCTCCTTATTCTGAGGAATGAAGCTCTGATTTAAAGCACTTCATGCCCTGTTTTCGCTGATATTAGAAGGGCTAACAGATGCTAGGGTCAGTCCAGTTTTAAGGAGCCCACTTTTGATTACAAGCCTACAATAGAGCTGTGGAAAGGAAAACATATTCCCTTGAAGGAAATGAGTTAGGAGGCTGTTGTGGAAGCATAACCAAAGGGATGAGTGTTGCAGGGGCAAGCTGCACTTCCACTGTACACAAGTGCCTCCAGCTCAAAGGCCTTTTCTTTGTTTTGGGGCACATTGCCTAAATCCCCAAACCTCCGACCTGTGCAACGTCAGGACAAAGCAGTTAAGGAGGCAGCATCTTGAAGGAGCTCTTCTCAGGAGGCAGTGGCTGTTGGAAATGGTTGAGGTAACCAGGTGCAGTGGGATATTTTTATCCTCTCCCAAGTAGGAGGATTTAAGAGGACTTCAAAAACAGAGCCAACATTATTTTTAAGCACAACAGTTGAAATAGTTCAGGATTTTTCTACTGCCATAATAGACCAAATGTTTGAAAGATCTGTCCCCTTTATCTCACTCTTAAGGTCCCCAAGGGGACATCAAAGCAGAATTCAGTGAGGTCGGTGTGTCAAAGTGGGTGGTAAGGACACATCCTGGATGGCAGTGTGACATCTGGCTGTGGTCAGCTATTGCTAGCAGTCAGGCCTGGAAGTGGTGTAAGGTTATAGCAGGAGAGGAATGAGGAAGGTGGTAGAAGTTGCTCATGCACCTCCATTTCCCCAGCAGCACTGAACCCGTGCTAGCAAACTGTGAAGGAGTGGCTCCATGGAACCATTGAGCCTTGGCAGATTTATTCAGACGTCCTTCTGTTCTTGCTTTCTCATTCCTTCTTACTTTAAAATTAAAAAAACAAGCAAGCAAACAAACAAAAAAACCGTAAGAAAATAACGTGTTTGCATGTATAGTTTAGAAGAATAAAACAACCACATTAGCAAGACTTGTGTTTATTCCTGGCATCATTCTCCCCATTAGCAAAAGGTATGTCATAACTTCTATAACAGACTGCAACTGCTTTGGCCAATGGATTGATGTGCTCTGTGATTTAACAGGTATTTGTTAGAGATGACTTGACTGTGTTCCCCTGAAAACAATCAGAACATATGGGATATTACATGAAGAAAATCCCCCAAAAACTCAGAGACATTAAGAACAGAGATCTGCTAAAACATGATTGCTAATTCTTCCCAGGATGCAAAGTTTAAAAACAATTAGATGGAGGCACAAACTGTGCAAGCAAATCCATTTCCACGTGCAAAATTTTCTGTTAGCAATTGCAAATTGGACAGCGAGTTGAATTCTCCCCAGTGGAGAAGAGGAAAGCACAAAGGCTTCTGCCCCTCTCAAATCTTGTTTGTCTCTGTGGTACTTACAGAGCCCTCATTAATGAAGTATTTAAGCTTGTTACAACCTTATTGCAGCCCCTGAGAATAACATTCATTTCACAGCATAAAACGAAGTGTGGGAGCTGTGTTAACACTTTCTGTGGCTCAGCTGCCCTAGGAGCAGCAGCCTGCAGCATCCCCAGCCTCAAACCTGCACATCCATCATGCCCTCCTGAGCAGGCTGTACTGCAGGTCCCATTTGCTGTGGTGAAAGGTAACGGGATTTAAGATCTTGGGGCCGCGTCATCTCCAGCAGCTTCAGCCCTCAGGTATGTGGGAATGCAGGCTCCTACCCTGTGCTCAATCTGGCTTCAAATCCTCGAAAGCCCAGGTAAGAGGGTTATGTCTGAGGTCCTTGGGTCCTTCTGCCCAATGAGGGCTGTCTGACATGGGCTCTGAGTAGAGGCAATGTTCGGGACACAGCATGCTGGTAAAGATGACCCAAGGGAGTTTTTTTCCTATTCCCTATTGCTATCCACCCTCCTTTCAGAAAAATCTGAGCTCATCCCTGAAGTCAGCTGTCTGTTCACCCTGCTGATGATTGCCTTCTTGCTTCTGATAATGCAGGTGGCTGCATGCTTTGCAGATGAATCAATATGGAGGAAGAAAACCCTAATTTGCTGCATCCTTTGCCTCTTCTAGTCGTGACCAATGGAGACGTTTCAAAATCATGGCTCAGAGGTATCTGGCAAGTGAGTTATCTAAATAAAGTGCTTTATTATTATTATTTTTTTTTATCTGCTAGATAAAATGTTAGATAGTTTCAATGAAAACCTGAAAACAACAAAGCAAAGATGGAACACTAATGTTGGTGACCTCACTTGGAAGTCAGAAAGTTTTGCGTTCATCCCACATTTCTTCCCAGGGCTGCTTTAAAAGTTCAGAATTGAGTAACATCTTTAAATACCATTTCATTTTCATATCAGGCATCTATTTAACAGTAAATTGAACATGAGTTTACAACTCTTGGAGTTCATAAAGGATTTCAATCCTGAGATTTTCCACCCAGAGGGATAAGGATGGGAGTAGAACAGAAAGCAGAAGCTGGCATGGAAGGGCTGGATGTAGAAACACCTGAATGCTACACAGATAGACCAAATTAAAATGCTTGTTAAGGAGCAGGAGAGATCGTCCTATATGGTGAGCTGGGAGCTGTTGTAGTAGGATGCTCCATGCTGGCAGTGTTTGGATGGCTTCATGTCTCTAATAGGCACAATATGTTATCCACCCAAATCCCACTGCAGCCTTGGGCTATGGAATTAAGCAAGTCCGAAGAATGCAGTGGGGAGAGTAAATGAGGAGAGTCCTTGGAACTGTTTATTGCTGTAGAATATATGCTTTTTGGAATATGATTATGAAGAATGTAAAATGAATTATTAGCAGGCCAGAAATCAATTTCCTTCCATACACAGTTATTCTTGGCCATGGTAATCTCTCCTCTCAATAATTTTAAAACTCAAAAATTGGTTCAAACTTTGTTCCTCACTGGGAATATATGTCACTACGAGGCATCGGAAATCTTCTTTACCACTTTCCCATAAAGACCAGTTGACAAATATACGAACCATCATGGGAGTGGGAAAGTTTATTTATATTTTTCAAGACATGCATAAGATCAGCTCCCCCCCTTCCTCCAACCTGGGCACGTCTTTTTCTTCTGAACTGTCTGCTGATGTCTGGAAGGGAAATAAGGAAACAGGAGGAACACATGGGGTGCTGGCAGCAGAGCTGCATGTGGTTGTGGTTGGGGGACCAGGGTCAGATGTGAGCATCATTCGTGTAAGGCTGTTCTTGTGCCTGTCCATCCTAGTTTGTAAGCAGCAGTGGGTGGGGGCTCTCAATGCTTCTCCCTAGTTGTGTTTTACACCATTTTATGGCTCTGGATTCCAGTGAGTAAGGGAATTGAAAATGACTTTACTGTAGTTCAGACTAGAGCTCACAAGAAGTTTGTTATCAAACTCACCAATGTGGTAATTAGTGCTGAGTGTTTCTAGATGGAGAAAATGCATATTCTGTAAAAAGATCATTTTTTTTCCATGGAAAAAATTGATTTTAAAGGAATCACATAGACGTTTCTGTTTTGTCAAGAAGATTTGAACGAAACACATCATTCCTGCCTGGCGGATCCAGATCAAACTATCTCAGCGTATTAAGCCAAATCAAAACATGTCATTTTCAATTAATTCAGGGTTTCTCTGTACTGGCCAGAGCTGGCCCAGTGCCTCAGGAGCTGGGGTTCAATGCTGTGAGCCACCTTTCTGCTGCCCAGGTGCTGTGAGGGCTGTCATGCCCTTGAGGCACAGGCCAGGGCTCAGAGGCTGGCTGGGAGGGCAGAGGGATGGCAGCAGACCGTGGGTTGATGGTGTTTGGGCTGAGCCTGTGCAGGAGAGGTGGGCTGCTGTGCTGCTGCAACAGCTCAACAAGGCATAGCGGAACCTTTTGATTTATGCATGTAGAAATGTTCAGGTTGGACAAAGCACATTCAAATAATCAGATCTTCTGAATGAATGGGAATTTGGGCCTGCAATGTTCTCTGACACTTGCGTATGACTCACGTTTAATTTCCTTTTGCTTTGCACAAAGCTCCTGCAGTGCTGCACCATGTTGTCTCCTGGGCTGGGCAGCACTGCATGGACTAGGAGAGTCCACCCAGCTTTTTTATTTGCAAAAACTGACTCCCTTTCAGCATAGCCAAACTCTTCTCTTTGAGATTCAACATAGCCAAACTCTCATTCTTTTTTTAATCTGTCCATCTGCAGAGCTTCCCAAATACTTCTGTAAGCATTAGTTTCTGGGAAAGATTGGGTTCCAGGCTTGATTAGTAGGCTTACACAGTTCATGGTGCTTGCAGCACCACCATCTGCACTGCTAGCGATTGATATCTGACAGAATAAATTCTCTGTATCTCTTAGGCTGATAGAGTCAGATCTACCACTGTTAGCCTTCTGCAAGTGAGTGAGAGTGTCTGGATCTCCATGAACGCGCACAAATATGAATCTGAAGCACCACCATCCCTGAATAGGAGTATGGACTCAATGATCCTAATAGGTCCCTTTCAACTTGGAATTTTCTATGATTCTGTGATTTTATGAGTTCAATTGAACAAGTCTTTGTAATTAAGCAAAAGCTTCTCCTTACAAACATCGTTTTTAAATGCTGATCACATTCAACTGAGATGCAAACCATCTGTTGACTTTAACCCAAACTTTGGCCCAGGTGAGGAACAAAGCTCATAGAGCTGCTCATGGATTTTCCTCACATTGAAGTGTTAAAGTTGAGAAGGACTGGGGTGACTGCTACCCACTGGGTTTGCCTGGTAAGAGTGGTGTTGCCTTCCCTTCCCTTCCAGGGCCTGCTGAGTGCTGAGTGTGATTAAAGACAGGTCAGGAAGGGCTGCCTGCTAATAATTCTATAGAGGAAATCTCTTGCATTATTCATCAGACATATATGGCCTATTCTAAGAGGAGAGAAAATAGAGAAGCACCTTTGGATGTATTGTAACATCTGCGAGTACAGCTGGTTCTTTTTCTGTGTTCCACTTATTATGTGCAATTTGTATGTTTTCTTCTCCATCTTCAGTAAAAAAAAAGAAAAAGAAAAAAAAAAAAAGAAAATTCTCTGAAGAGAAGGAACTTGCAAAGCTTGTTATTACCAGGGCAAAACTCCCACTCCTCCTGTAGAGACGGGAACTGCCAAGCTCTTGTTCAGCCTTGGCTGTAATATCTACTATCATTTCTCAGCCTTCACGTAATCAGGTAATTTAATATAATTCCTCCACTTTCAATCAAGCCTGGTGAGCAGATGTCAGGATTCAACCCCTGGGTTTTGTCTGCTGCCACAGCCTGGTTTCAGCGCTCACGGCAGAGCCCAGCTCTGCTCACCCTGATGCTCTGGGTGGGATGGAGGCCCTGGGCTGCACAGCTCCACCTGGATCAGAATGGAGATAAGCACCTTCTTCCTTAAAGTGAAGGAACAAAACTTGGCAGTTCTCTCTGAGCAGTGCGTGAGCAGTTGCTGTTTCACAGCCGCAGTATTGCCATGCTGCGTCTCAGCTGATGAGAAAGATAGGGATGAAGGAGAACAGATGCTGGGAACAGATAAATGGGGATGAAGGAGAACAGATGTTGGGATTTTGTATGAGATTTGTTCTGTCTTGATTCATAAGTTTGGCCAGCAAATGCAGTGATCACATTTCTCCTGTATCTGAGCAGCAACACTGACCCTACTGAAGATGTGTGATGCTTAACCCACAAATACCCAGATGATGAAAAATAGCAAGAAAATATTTAATGTTTATTTTTACTATTAGGCAAGCTTTTAGCATTCCTTCCCAGGCAGCTGCTCCAGAAATAACATTTTGTTTTTGAAACGTAGAAAGCCTTGTGTGCACTGCCTGTATATGGCAGGACCAGCTTCTGGGAAGCTTAGTCCATCAGCATCCTTTAGGATCTGAGTCCAGCACCACTGCTGCTGCAGGACTGAGCCCTAAATAGCTGCATCTGCACAAAATACAAGTTCTGCTTTATGTTCAGGTAGGACAGGCAACAGCACACTTTTGAATGTTTTTGCCCACACTGCTGAAGGTTTGGGGTCTTCTGACTTAGAAGCAATGTTGGATTAGATGGACTCATGGCTTGTAACTGCTTTGTTAGGAGCTACCTAATGATGCGTAATCTTGTCACGCCTGCTCCTTGAGAAAGGCTGGATGTGGGTGCATGGCATGTTGCATTAGCATAACCTTTCTGATCTGGAGTTGCTAAGCATGCCAAGAAACAATGTGAGAGCTACCTGGAAGACAGAATCCTGGACACATTATGTAGCACAAGCACCAGTGGCAATCTGGGAGGCTCACAATGTGTGTGAGGTTAATGCATAGCATATGACAGTTGTCTGGCATGTGGGTTTTGTGAACAAACTTAACTAGACTGTTGGAAATGACAACAAGGAGCAGTAAGAGATGCACTTCATCTGGTGGGAAAAACAACAGCAGCAGGGATGGAGATGAGCATGTTTTCTGAGTTGCTTTTGTTGTGTTTATGTCCCAAGGGATGATCTAGCTGCTCCCTGCTGCCCAATAGCGTGCTTAGAGAACTGGCTGTGACTGAGGATTTCTCTAACACTCTCCTTCCCTTCCCTTCCCTTCCCTTCCCTTCCCTTCCCTTCCCTTCCCTTCCCTTCCCTTCCCTTCCCTTCCCTTCCCTTCCCTTCCCTT